ACCTTCCATCGGAGACTGCAAAGATCTTTGCGACAAGGCCGCTGTCGGCTGCCACAAGGATCGTCTCTCCACATGGTGAGAAGCAACAGCTGCGAGCGCGGCCTGCATGCCTCGCAGAAAGTTTACCCCTCTGTCACTCAGCGCTCTCAGGCTGGTGCACAGACTGGCGCACCTTCGGAAGTCCCGGACGAGACAAGAGTGACTGCAGTTCTGAGATGTGTGCAACAAGGGGAGTCTCGTGTTGTGATCAGGCCTGTACTGCAAAGCTTCCCTGTTGGGGGACTCCACTTTCTGGCCCTTGCACAGCCGAGCCCCTCGAAGGCAACCTTCTTGGGGGTGCTTGAAACCCGCCGAGACCTGCGGGTGCGTGTTCGCGCGCGGAGGGGGGGTTTCGTACCTTCCTTCTCCTGTCCCTGTAGAGAGAGAGAGTGTGTGTGTCGTGTACTGGTCTGAGAAGCTTCAAAAGTTGAAAGCACTACATTGCAACCACAGAACTTCTACGCTTGGTCGTTGTGTTATGGGGGAGCTTCCGCTGTTTGAAAGGGCACTCGTCCGTTCAATTGGGCCCGGGGTTGTTTTGAGGCCCATCGTACTCAACCATACTGTGGCTGCCAGACAGAAGTTGCAAGGTTCAGGGATGGGGTGGGCAGGCTAAGGCAGTGTCGCGCGAGGCTTCAGTTCGGGATCAGGTGGGCACAGTTGCCGAAGTTGGGGGGGTGGAGCTCCCACAACTCTCGAAGCGGGGGAGCAGTGACAATGACCGAGTATCGTAGTGTTTCTACGGGTCTGATTCGGTGATGTGTTAGTTCGACTTTGCAGCACTGCCCTCTTGCAAGAGCTGACGCTTGGAGTGCCCACGGATGACCTGAATGACGCCCTACGGTTCCCGTACCAGGGGTGATGGTCTTAGCAGGGGGTGTTTTTTGGGGGGTCACATAGGTGAACGTGGATCACACTCACTCGGAAGGGGCCATGCCGACAGACAGACGCGCACCATGGGGGTAGGCCTTCGGGCCAGGGCTCCCTCGGGGGCTCAGACCCCAAGCAAGCAAGCAAGAGAGAGAGAGAGTGAGAGAGAGGGAGACCCTCACGGATTGCGGGTGCGCGCGTGCGCGCGGGAGGCTAGGTCTGGACGCACCTAGTCTCTTCAGCCTGGGAGAGAGACCCTTCCTGTCTGCTTCCACCTCACTAGGCGACTCATGCCGCACAGATCTCAGCACCAGCGGCAGGGGGCCCAAACCTTCTCTGCAACTAGTCCAAGCTGTCTGCACCTTCGCTAACAAGAGAGCCGCCCGACACAATGGCCAGCAGAGACTGGGAAAGTGCGCCAGCTTGTGACCACCGAATCCCAACAGCAGCGGGGGCATCATTGGCCTACAAAGCCAGGGGCTGCATGGGATTGGGGGGCACATACATGTCTCACACCGACGTCACAAGACACAGTGGCGTAGCGTGCTGTGTAGGGGAGGGGATGTCCGCTTTCGCGCCCAAACACCATGCAAGCAAGCAAGCAAGCAAGAGAGAGAGCGAGCGAGAGCCCCTGCGGTGGTCTTCCAGTATCTATGTTACCTTCCTGGTACTTCGCTGTTGTCCTTGTTTGCTAACTTTCCTTCAATCTCAAAGGGAACCCAAATGACACACGCTTTCAGGGTCACTTTTCCTGAAGGCATGCTACTTGCTCCTGAAGGGGATACCACAAAAATTGGGGACACCTCAGTGTGATGATCCACTTTAAGGGGACAGCCTTTTTATCAACTATATGTACTGGGATGACTTTTGCTACTACCATATGGGGGATGATCTGTCCTGTTGCACCGACGCCGCACGAGCGACAGCAGACTCGCTCCTGTGCGAAGACCCGGGACTTGGCTGCGATCACTGCGTGGAGGGGGGGCTCAAGGGTCTCCTTCCTCGAAGCCAGTAGCAAGCAAGCAAGTCCGCGGTGGGAAGAAAGAGAGAGAGAGAGAGAGAGATCGTGGGAACGCAAACCCTGCAATGAACTGCGGGTGCGCGTGTGCGCGTGGAGGGGGTAGCTGGACCGCTGCCTTCTCTTCGCCCTGTAGAGAGAGAGAGAGAGAGAGAGAGAGATCGTGACTGCAAAGCTTTCCTGTTGGGGGACTCCACTTTCTGGCCCTTGCACAGCCGAGCCCCTCGAAGGCAACCTTCTTAGGAGTGCGTAAAACCCGCCGAGACCTGCGGGTGCGCGTTCGCACGCGGAGGGGGGGTTTCGTGCCTTCCTTCTCCTGCCCCTGTAGTTGGAAGGATGAGTTGACAAGCTCAATCGGGGGAACACGGGCTTTCTCACAACCCCGGAATGGGCTTCGAAGATTCGAAGACCTTGTAGCGCGAACTGTTGTGGGGTAGGCCTGCGGGCCAGGGGCTGACGCTTCTCGTTAGAGACACTGAGATCCGGACTCCTTGCTGAGGAAGTGCAGGAAGAAGCGTTCTCCTGGGAGGAGCGACGGAGTTCATGAGTGTGTTGAGCCTTAGGAGGCCCTTTTGGGCCGTGCCTGATTGAAGCTATGCAGGACAAGCACCCCGAGTCTCCCTTCACAACTCCATTGCCGCTGCGCTCCACCATCAGCCCGAACGGGTTGACTTCTTCTCAGGGTGCAGGCCAAAGAGAGGGAGAGAGAGAGAGATCGAAGATGGTGAGAGACTTCCAGCCCTGCAAGACAACGTTGCGCTAGGAGGCTTTCACGATTTCCTCAAGGGGCGATCCGAGACCTCGCCTGCCATTCTGACAAGTCGCTGACTGAACTTTTTGCCCGCATGGGTGCGACTTCCAGCCTGTTCTCATAAATTAAGCCGACATGTGTGCACACAAGCGTAGCATATGTAAAGTTGCTGCAAGAATACATGTAAGGAACACTCGAAGCAAACGATGTCGTCCAAAACGATTGCAGTGCTGCATTTGCCAACTTCAGGTCACACCTTCCCTTTGGCATCTCCAACATGTGAGGATCCGAGGCAGCGGAGGGATTCTAGCCAGTTCCCGTTTGAAGATTGAAAAGGCGGATGACAAACTGCCAACGTGTGACACCTGCATGCAACAGCCTCGCTCTGATGCATTCTTGAGTTAGCAATCACTTTGGGCTTGGACTACTGCGACGTCGCTCTCAAGTTGCATGGACATGGGTTTGGCGCGGCACAGGGCGATGTATCTTCGTGGCTGCAAGGCGAGCCTCCCATATGGTGATCATCCACATGTAGGACTTAGTTACAATAATTAAACGCTAGCGGCATTAGTGACCACGAAGCATTTCGTAGCCGATGCTCATGGAGATGGTGCAGCCAATGCAGTCTCCGTTTGATGTGGCTTCCGAGGGCCAGGCAGGAGAAGTCTTCGCTGCCTTTGCACTCAGAAGCTGTTGCACAGGTGAAAAGGTTCATAGAGCGTGGACGAACCGTTGCGCAGAGCACAGGCGGGAAGTAAGACTTTCTGGTTGCCATTGCAAGTAGCTCGCCAGCTCGAGGCACCGCACGCACGCACGCAAACAAACAAACAAACAATGCACTGTTGCTTTCTGGCATGGGCTGAAACCTGTGTGCAAAATCAGCCATTAAAGCCAATTAAAGCCATTACAGGTCGCATTAATGTGCGCCGAATACGGACGAACCACCACACCTGGCGACTTCCTCAGCGCGCAGCGATTCGTAAGTTATCAGTTGTTGATGTAGCGAGCCAAGGTGGGCATCCTTTTGGTCAGACCCCTTCCATTCGGTGCGCCTAGCTTTCTCTGAGACCGGCTCTGTGGCCGATGTGATGCGAGACCGAGTTCTGACCCTCAGGTCATCCACCACAGCACCATCAAGATTATGGCCTTCTTTTGTGCGACTGCCCTAGTCAAAGTGAAAGTGGAGATAGCTTCTGTTTTCAATTGGGTTCGACACCGTCACCAGGGCCTTTGGGAGGGGCCGTTCAAAAGTTCGAAGAGAGACGCTTGAATGAGGCAAGCTACTTATTCACGCACCTGCTCTTCTCACTGCAAGGATCCCAGCGCAGAAGAAAACCAGGCGAGGCACAGAAACGATGTGTTTGGAATCTGGCCACCATGCACACATGCTGGTGCAGGGCAACGCTAGTCCCTATCATATTTCCGTCGAACGCGTCATACAGTATCTCGCGAAAGCTTTTGAACTTGCTGTCGTCCGGCAGGCAGACGCGTGCTCCCACCTCTAATACCCGCCATTGTGAAGACATGTGCAGATTCGCATCGGGGCCCAGGGTATACTACATGGTGGACGAGTCTTGTGATCTGCAGATGCTGGCCAGCATTAGCTTCCAATTTAGTGAATATTCAGTCGACTTCGAAGCAAGAAGGCATGCCGTGTTTTGCAAGGATAAAGTCTCTGCTGGATGCCATGTATCTCAGCTTGGAGGCGTCCTGGGATGGTCCCGCTCTTTGTTCGTGGAAGCAAAACCGGGGTGGTCTGCCAGGTTGGTATGACGATTGGATGGGGTTTGCCCGGGCTCGGCCCTTGAGAACAGAACAGTCTGCCTCGCCCAGGGCTCTCAAACCAGAGAGCCTGGTGTCAAGGTCTCCTTACATGAAGCAGAGAGGAGCCAGGCAGGATCTTCCATGTGCCCTTCAGCGGCGTGGTCCCACCCTTCTACAAGAATTCACCTCAAGTATACACCCAAGCTACGCCTCCAATCCCGGATCAGAGTCTGAAACGAAAAGCCCACATGCTGAGCAGCGCCCAGCTCCGCAATTAAGCAGTCAGTAAGTGATATTCAACCCTTTGCTAACTGACAGCATCGTGGCGTTAATTGTGTTGCAGTGCCTTGCTTTCCAAATACAAGACCTGGATTTGGCACATGAGGCAATCAGACTTTCTTCCATTCTGTGTGGACCGCTCCATGTCCCTTCAGGGCTCGGGGCTTGCGCGCTGGCCAGGCACGGCTGCTTCAGTGGTGTTGGGATCGTTTACCTCCACACCTTGACAATGAGCGCGCGCCCCTTGGAGCTGGAAGATAGGACACCGGGCGGACAAGCTGTGGAATTGGAGGTAGCGCTGCTAGCTCCATCAGTGACGGTCGAATAATTAGGGTGGTTTCTTGCGCAACTTCTGCCATAGACCCTTCAATCCGACTCTTCGGGAAACCAGCTTCAAAGCCCTACAGACTACTAGAGACAATCTGGATCCTTGACCTCAGATGCAAAATGCCCTGATGATCGGCCTGATCTACTGCCGCATGTCACGGGGAACCAGCAGTGGGGAGCCGAGTTGCTAACAAGCCATCAAGACTCGCCGCGTGAGAATGCATAGCAGGCCCAAGGTGGGGCATGTCACCGACTTTGCCGTAACATATCGCCATGTCCTCCACCTCGTGGGGGGAGATTCTGTGAATTTGAGACTGGCTCAAGCTGCCAGCCCCTTTTAGCCGCCGATCGGGTGTGGAGTGGGCTGATGGATGCTCTCTTCTACCAGCATTTGCAAGGACTCTACCGTGTCAGAGCGGTCACATGTAGCTTTTCTGGACTCGGTGGCCGATGAGGCGCTTGGTCTCTTGTCGCGGAAGGACTTACGAAAGAGTACGAGCGGCTGGTGCAGGAGAAGGACAGATCACAGACTGCATAGAGACTTGCACCTCTGTGGTGCTCCTGCCAGGCAGATTTGGCAAAGCTCTTCAGTGATGCATCATCTGTTGTGTTGCCGGCTCAGCCACGTCCAGTGGAAGCTTGCATGTGTATGGTCCATACGCATCGGTTTTCAAGGACGGTCCCCCCATACCGCAGAGACTAGTGACTAGCCAAGGCTGCACGAAGAAGCCGCTGGGGACTAACTTGTGCATCCGGTATGTGAGCAAAGTCAGTGCAGGGCAATGCATACGGTCGCATCTCAAGCTATCCAGGTCCTGGACCGTGAGGGAGCTGGAAGCGTCATCTCACACAAGGTGCGAGCAGTTGCCGGCATATTGTGATGGACTCGTTGCTGCTTTATAAGAGTCTTACGTGGACAAGGCCATGTCCTGAAGGAAACACGCAAAGGGTCTATTTTGCCACAGAAAACAGAGACACGTGTGAGCACGGATCTTCGAGCGCAGGACGAGGTCGACGTGCATGACGTGCAGAAAGTCCTCTCAGGCCAGCTGGAATGTAATTTCTGGTTGAGTTCATTGAATGTCGTAACAGCCATGCCTCAGGGCATGTGCTCGCATGCCACACGCAGAGCCTTGCTGGAACTGATTTCTCATGATATGGCCCCGCGAGTTCGCCGCCAAACAAGCTTTGCACGTGACTTGGAGAAGATGAACCAGGCCCCTGGGGAGGAAGCAAAACCTGTATGCCATGCCGAGCACTACAGGTCAAGGTTGTCGTAGTTGGGACAGAGAGAGGGAGAGAGAGAGAGAGACAGAGAGAGAGAGAGAGAGCGCGCTTTGTTAGCCTAGTCGTTTCGATGGTTTTGAAGGAGCGGAATGTAGAAGCCACATTCGAGTTCAAGTGTCGGGAA